TCTCTCTCTCTCTCTCTCTCTCCCCCTCCCTTTCTCTCTGTCTCTCAAGGGTGCGATAACTTTCAGCGCCGACTGTATCGCTCTGGATGATATATCCCCCGGGGGTTTTCTCCCCTTGGGTGTTGGGGTGTGTTTCGTTGCCTGGCAACGACACCCTCGAAGTCCGCGCTCTGATTGGCCCTGTCTCGCTTTTCCTGTCTTAGCCTCTCTTCTCGCCCCGTCGTCAATCAGCCCCCCTTTGCCCGTGTACTCTCTGCCATATCCCCCGACTTCCTCTCGCCGATGGAAGTCGTCGTCCTTCGGAGCGGAGAGCACACACACGTTTCGGGCGCGCAAAAAACACGCTGCGACGCGAGCAAGAACGCGAGGAATAAACGCGTAATGGCGCGACAACGTAGATATATATATATATATATATATATATATATATATATATTTATATATATGTATATATGTATATAATACATGCATGATAAAACAATGTTTTATGGATAAACAATATAAAATAAAGATTTGTTTTTTTCTGTTTGCTTCTCCACATGTATCATATGGAGAAGAACGTAACTAAAAGAAAATCTCCACGTGCGCGAGGATTTTTTTTTCATTTTAATGATATTTATTTTTCTTCGAAAAAAACAATATTTCTTAAATACACACCTGTTGTAGCGCCGCGTGTTTATTCTCGAGCACTGGACAAAAATCTAGAAACGTGTATTTGTTTACATTTTTTTTACGTCATCGACGGGCGAGAGTTCGAGATGAGGAGAAAAATTTTTGCGGAGCGAAAGAGGTCGGGTTGGCGGAGGGAGTGGAGGAGAAGGAGGAGGAGGAATCTTATTTGCCATAGATTCATCCGTGATAAATCCGATTACGAGGTAAACAGCTCCGAGTTTCATCTGCGCTCGATGTCATTGAGAGTCATTTCTATTTTCACGACATTAAATTGTACGAAAGGATTAAGGGCGATTTCACTGGCTTCTTTTTCAATACCTCCTTCGAATAGCCGGGCTTGTTGTCGAGACTGCACAGCGCGCCTGTGAGAGGATTAAACCTTCCTATTGATCCCGTTCAATGGATTCTCGTGCCCTTTCACGTGCCAGCATTCGTAATGTTTTGACATCCTTTGCGCTCGTCCCTTCGCTCGTCTCTCGCGCTTTCGCTTGTCTCTCAACGTTGGTAGTACGGCGCGTACACGGTACATTTTCGTGTGTTGTCTTCAATTTAATAATCAATAAACAACGTCGCATCTTCCAAAACACTCAGACATTTCTAAACACATGCTGCACGGATTGTTTTTTTTTCGTACAATATTGTAAAAATATGAAAACTAAAATATTTTACTAGATTACATTGTATCATGATACATTTAATTAATAATCGATATATAATAACTGCCATATATCGTATTATTTTAACAGATAAATCGTGCGGCAACAACAACGGTTCCGTCGACAATTTCTTCCTAAACTCATCGCAATACTTCGACGAACGCGTCGATAAAACCTCGGACGTTTTAAAAGAAAAGTAAGTGTAAAATTTCGCAACACAGAATTTCGCGTGATATTTCATTCATATACGAATTCACACACACGTTACACAATTGAATATTTATCGCAGACTGCCGCAAAAAGTGCCGAAAGTATATTACGGAACGCGAACGCACAAGCAACTCGAGCAGGTAATCAGAGAATTCAGGAAAACCGCGTACAGATACAAAAGGTAAAGATTGAGCGACAATTTTTTTTTTTTTTTTTTTTTTAATAACTCTAAACTGTATGACACTCACACGAGCGAGTTTCCAGCATGACTGTATTGAGCAGTCGAGATCACACGTGCATTCAGGAAACCCGCAGGAACAAAACCGAGTTGTGCAACGAACTGCTTGACCCGCGCAAGGTTTTTATTACAAGTTTATACAAAGAACGATTGAGATAAGTATCCGAAACTACGCGTTGTTTCGGATACTTATCAATCGTCTCTCGCGTGCGCGAAACTTTAATTTTATATTCGTGTAATGACGTTTATTTTAAACAGTCCAGCAGATGTCCGTTTTACAACGAGCGCAGTAAAAAGAACATGCACGTGTTCGAAACACGACTACCGACGCCTTGGGACATAGAGGATTTGGTTACGTTGGGTGAAGAGAACACGGTCTGTCCGTATTTCGGCGCGAGATATTTGATGCCTCTGGCGGAAATCATCTTTTGTCCGTACAACTACATCGTGGATCCGGACATCCGCGAGAGCGTAAGCATAACGAACAATTGCTAATTAATAAATACGCGCGAGTGTGTCTGTACAATATGTACAGAAAACCGTGAAACAACAATTTATGTATCGCACGTAACATGTGAGGTATCAAAAAATGTGATTTTTTCCACAAAAAGCGTGTCTAATTAAGTAATTGAACTGTACAGATGCAGATCAATCTGAAAGGCAATATTGTGATCCTCGACGAGGCTCACAATATCGAGGATGTCTGTCGGGATGTCGCCAGTGTGAATATTACCAACGACAATCTTGCGAACGCCATCACAGATTGCGAAAATGTTCTCGGAACTCTAAACAAAAAATTGAAACAAAACGCACCGTACAATGAAGATTACATCGCTTACATGACTATTTGGGAGTATCTCGGCGACATGGCGAAGTTACTGAAAAATTTTGTGGTCAAGGAAAATGTGAGTGTTGTATCACACACGCGAATCGACAATGTTGTTTTACAGAATTATTTTCCGCATTAATTTATGTTTCTATTTTTTAAAAATTGTTTTTCTATTTCTGACCAATGTCAATTTGCGAACGCAGTTGTTGATTACATCTCGTTGTAATAATACGCGCGTTTCACAGGGCAACTCGCAAGATCTCGTCAGCGATTGTTGGCGCGGTTCTGAATTTCTGGAACTGTTCAATATAAGTAACCTCGGACGCTCCAGATTTCCCGCTGTCCTCCAAGCCAGTAAACTGGCTATCGCGAATTTTGACAAAGCGAGAGAGGAGATGACGAACCCTCACGTTTTGCCCACCATCTCGCACGATACCAAGAAGATTCTCGAGCATCTCTGTTTCGCTATGCAAATGCTCATGTCGGATAGCGTGGCTGATGATTACAGAGTTTACGTTGTGGAGAGCATGGAACCTAGAAGGACCGTGAGTATTACAAAGTTTATTACTTTTGTTTTTTTTATTACCACATTGCTATTACGGAGGCGTTAATGTCCACACGTTGAAGTGTGCACTTCTCGTTGTTAGGATGTTATATCGAAGCTGTTGTTGACGCAACAATCTCACGTGTAAAAAAAAACAAAACAAAATTTCCCATTAGGTGTCCGATGACATTTGGGTCTCAACGAAGAGTAAAATACGCACCATGAAGTTTATGTGCATGAATCCCGCTGTGATTTTCGCGCCTCTGGCCATGATCGTTCGTTCTGTGATACTAGCTTCGGGTACGTTGGCGCCGATCTCGTCGTTCCAAAGCGAGCTCGGCACACAATTTCCTCATGTACTCAATGCGAATCACATTATACCGAAGGAGCAAGTGTACGTGAGGTGCTTACCATGTGGACCGAATCGAAGGACTCTGATTGCTACTTACGAGCACGTGAATTCCTGGGTTTTTCAGGTGTGAAAAACAAAAACAGAATCGCGCGCGCGCGACTGTATATCAATAAATATTATGCAAACATTTTTATATTATTGTGATGACAATAATTCTCAATGTAACAGGACGAGCTCGGTGATCTGATCCTTCAAGTGTGCAACGCGATGCCGTACGGCGTGCTATGTTTCTTTTCCTCTTATCACGTAATGAGCATGTTTTACAACAGATGGAAGAACAACGGCATGATAAGGAAACTATCGGAACTCAAGGAAATTTTCACAGAGCCGAGAGACAACAAGGATCTGCCGTGCATGATGAGAAACTATCGCGACGTAATTAAAAAGTCGTCTTTGAAATCTTATCGGGAAACATCCGGAGCGATTTTGTTCGCGGTTTTCCGGGGAAAAGTCGCGGAAGGGATCGATTTCAGCGACAATGAGGCTAGATGCGTGTTAACGGTAAATAAATGTCGTTTTTAAACAAATATACAAATTTACGTTAATATATGTCAAGTTAATATGATTTTTTTTATGTTTATATCAGGTCGGCATACCGTACAGCAACAGGAACAATACTGATGTATCGATGAAGATAGCGTACAATGACGCAAATGCTGCGAAAGGATTGCTCTCAGGTAAAGAGTGGTACACTGTGAACGCGTTCAGGGCCTTGAATCAGGGATTGGGTCGTTGCATCAGACATGTAAAGGATTGGGGCGCGGTGTTGCTAGTGGATGAAAGGTGCGTATATATATGCGACGTAACAAATTCAATTTGAAAATAGAGATTTTTTATGATGAAAATTTACGTACAGGTTTCAGAGGTCGCAGAATGTTAGCTATTTGCCAAAATGGATTAAAGAAAGGGTAAGTAGTTGTGAATATGAAAGTGAGGCAAGAAGTTGTTGCATATATATGTATGTACACAAAAAAAAAGAACATTTTTATATAAATTTATCTGTTTTGCAGCGAATACACAGTGCGAATTACGATCTTCAAACAGAACTTGAAGATTTCGTAGCTCTGCAAGCTGCGCGTGAAAGAGCAGAGAATGAATTAATAGATTAAATATTTTACATGTGTATATATATATATAACTAACAAAGCTAAGTATAAACTTTTTTTTTTATTAAAAAAATTACTTAAAGTTAACAAACAATATTAATAATTGATTGTTTATACAATTTGATTCCTATGTTCTAAGTTTTACTGACTGATGTCACATTTTTTACTGTATCCCTTTTTTCAATCTTTCTCAACTGTTTTTTTTTCATTCTTTTTATTTTCGCAGTGTTTGTTATCTAAAAATGATGAGATAAGAATGAGAATTGTACACAAATTTATACACAATTGTATGCCATAGTTTTTTGAAAAAAAACAAAAACAAAAGCGTTACTCACAACTTGAACAATCTCGCTCTTTTTTCTGTTCTCCTCCGCTCGTTTTATGTTGTTCCTTCTTCGTTCTTTCTTAGCCTCTTTTTCCGCCCGCTTTCTCTCCTTGATCGCTCTTGACATTTCCTTAACACGTTTCAGATCCTCCTTCAGTTTCTGTTTCTTCTCAAAAGACATTCGAGTCCCACGTGTCTTAATTATGGAAGAAAATCTACAGATTTTATAGCCAAATTATAGGTCGAAATTAATTTGGCTTGTAGATTAAAAAAAAAAAGTACATCAATTAAACATATACGACATGCAAAACTGCAACTTACTTTTCTTTCTCTTCCTTCCATATCCTGCCAGATTTCGGTTTACCTCTCGGGATGTGTTGCTTCTCACGTTTCTCAGTGAGAGACGAAGGTACTGCTGTATTTTGATCGTCCTGTTCCGTTTTTTCTGATGTCGCAGCACCACTTAATACGTCTTCCATACGCACAACGTTTTCATCGTTCTCCATTGTTACAAATTATTAATAAAAACCGAGCAAGCAACCGAAATGTTTTCACATGTAAACAATTCTTGTAGGTTAGTCGCGCCACGGTTGTCACATGGCACGTCGCAGAGAAGCGGACGGCGGACGAAGTACGTTCACGTTGTTGCGCCGCAAACTGCATTATCGATAATAATCAATTTGACATGATAAAGTTAATGATAATTGAAGAAAAAAAGAATATTGAAATAATTAGTATATAATTGAAGTAATTCTTTTCTATTTTCTCTATTCTCTTTTTTGTTTATTATGTTTTTTCTACGCGTGTGTGATATTGGAGAAGCAAATCTACAGATTTATCTACGGACGATTCGGGGAGTGTGTTGTATATCGACAGATGCACAAAAATGAGGAAAGTGCATGTCGCACGGACTCAGTCCGGGTGACATTTTTTGCATCGTCCATGCCAGACAGCGAATGTTGGCTCCGTAGTTTCCTACATTCTCTTTTGGAACGAGTAAAAAACAAAGTCGGTGTCTTCAGTAGCATTTGCGTGTTGAATTGATTTATAAAAAAATATCGACAACTAGGTTTTAAATGCGCATGGTGGGATAATGGAGTCTCTGAAAGAAATTTCTCAGTATTTAAATCATGAAACTCGGTTGGATCTGAAAGCCATTGCGTTGGAGCACGTGCTCGGTATGTGATTATATATATATATTTTAATTAATTTTTTTAAATAAAAATAAAATATACATATTTATGAGACATGTTTTTATTTCTAACGCAATATTCTTGTCTCTAGCATGTAAAAGTCTCATTAAAAAAACGTGTGCGCAGGTGTGACCGCGACTGCTGAAGGCCGATTACTTCTGTTGGGTTTACCAGAACTGTTGAAACAACTTGTTGTTCTTATGCAAGATTCATCTGTGCCTGTTGGCAAGGATGCTGCATTGGCATTGGTAAACATTACTGGAGACGAAGCAGGAATCAGTGCAATGTTGATTATCTCACAGGAATCAAACAGCTCAAACACAAATGAACAGAATCTTAGTTTTAATTTAATACATGTTTGCATAAGGTTTGTAATCTGTATTTATTTTGTACTTTACTACTTTGCGCAGTTGATCCTTAATTGGTTATTTTGTTACAGAGCTATTATGGACAAAACCAGTACTCTGGCAGATCCATGTTGCATGATACTTTCCAATATAACTAGATCGTCATATTCAGTGGAAAGCGTGATAACACATATCGAACGAAGTGGCTACACTTGGGACGCAATAATAGCCGCATTTACTGCAAAGCAGTACAACACTGTGGGTGCTAAGTTGCACTATCTCGGGGCTGTTTTTAGCAATCTGAGTCAATCGCCACGCGTAAGACGGTATTTATTTGATTTAACTTTGGATTTTTGGATTTTATTCGATTGTCGATTTTATTTTGCAAATTCAGATTTTTAATTGCAGATACTTGATGGATCGAGATCGGTGTGTTATTCAACGACTTCTTCCGTTTACAGAATATTCCGATAGCGTGATCAGACGTGGTGGTGTTATTGGCACTTTAAAGAATTGCACTTTTGACAGTGAAAATCACGCGTGGCTGCTAAGTCCGGAAGTGGATTTATTGTCGTACCTGTTGCTGCCGCTTGCAGGTTCGGAAGAGTTCGACGATGAGGATAACGACAAATTGCCAATTAATTTGCAATATCTTCCCGAAACAAAGACTCGAGAGTCTGACCCGGACATAAGGTTGGATGTACAGATCGGCTATGTGTGCATGTTTTTATATTTTAAGAACTACTGCGAAGACACCAGTCTTTCCAATAATACCATTGCTGTTTCAGATTTATGCTTTTAGAAGCGTTGAACCAGTTGTGCGCAACCAAAGTGGGGAGAGAAATATTGAGAGAAAAAAATACATACGTTATACTTCGGGAACTTCACAAGTGGGAGAATGACAAAAAGTGTTCATTAGCGTGTGAAAATGTTGTGGATATTTTGATAAAGTAAGCGTGATGAACGCAAGATTCTCACTTGACAAACCGAATCTCTTGTTAACAATCCGCTTTGTTGTTACAGAACTGAAGAAGAAATCGGATTGAACAACTTGAAGGAAGTGGAAGTGCCGCGCGAGTACACGGAAAAGTTTGACGAGATGGATAAAAACTTTATTAACAACACATAGTGCAAGACAGATGAATATCATAAATATATATATATATATATAACAGAGCTTATTTGTAAGTAATAAAATATTACACATACATACAGTAAGTATATTGTACGTATTTTGCCACAAAAAAGTGGTGTATAAAATAATTGATAACACATTCGGCTCTTTGTATCGGAGTCATCATATTGCACTGCCCCGTTCAATCATCAGGTTCAGATCGTAGCGAAAGATATCTTGATTTTTTATCGCGTGTAAGCGACAAAAATCTATGTGAGAAGATAGAAATAGAAATGAATTTCTATTTCTTTACGTTTAACTTAAACGTTAAAATTATGATGAAACAGGTACGTAGCATACATTGAAAAAAAAAAACGACTAAAAATAAATTTACGACACATAATCATAAGAAAAAACTTCCGTTTTACGTTCGCGTGACGCGAATGGCAAGATATGTGTACTTGTATATAGCAATACTCAAAATATTACGTATATTATTATTATATTCGATTAGATACATTAAGTTATTCGACAATTTTGTGTCATGGTAAGTAACCCAAACCAGCTTCGAGGCTGACCGAGCTTTTTACGCTTGACGCGTTACTGGTTCTTCTGGATATTCGATTGCTGTCTCCGAAAACCGCGGCGATTTCCGCGCTTTTCTTAATGGAAAGCGCCTCGTGATGCGCTCCGGATCTGCCGCTGCCGCGAGAGGAATGCTTCTTGTCCCGTTCCGCGCCGCCTACGTAAACCAGACGGCCCTGAGTATCCCTGGCGCTGACCACGAGAACTTTCTCGCTCCCGGACGACTGCTGAGATCGTCTTCCCGGACTGAACAGATCGTAATCTAACGCCAAATTGTCCGAACTACCGCAAACCGCCGACGATCGTTTCTGCGGTTTAGAATTTTTCGGTTCAAAGACAGATTTTATAATACAACTGCAAAAATCAAAAAAGGAGAAGTATTTTAATAATTAACAGAAAAAATTCTCTCTATACGGCTACCTTGTGAAAATCGATGTTGCGAGATGAACTATGACTACCGGTCACTTTCGAACCTCTGATCCTCTCCCCGGGACTGTCTCCTCTGCTGAGGGTACTCTCCGACGGAACGATTCCCTTCTGTCGAAGTTGCTCGAGTATGCTAGGCTGCGTCGGCTTTCGCGCGCAGTAACACTTGTTGCTCTCGGAGCAACTGTCGGTGTCGCAGGCGCAAATTATCGCGTTCCCGGGCGCGGACGTGTCCGCTGGCATTCGCCTGGACAGCGAGCAGTAACACTTGTCCGCCGACACGCACGTGCAGGACTCGGAATCGTAGCTGCACTCGCTGCAGCTCACGTAGCCGCTGCTGCTTCTGTTCGCGGTCGCGCCTACGCTGCGACTCAGTCGTCTACCTGTGACAGTTTGTGTGTGTGTGTGTGAAGTGTTAGAATTATGTCTATGTATTATTATTAAGTCTAAAATGTTTGCATGCCATAGATATTAAGACTTTGTTTATTTTAATTATTTTTGTTTGAATTTTCTTGCATTTGCACTTACATGTATCGCTGTCTTCGGAGGTTGTGTGGCACACGCCGCTCTTGCTCGCGATCCTCCACGAGGATTTTCTCCTCCCGAGTCTGCTCGCCAGAACTCGATTGCGGTGATTGTTTCTGACGTCGCAGGACGAACTGCTGCCGAAACTGTCGTTCAATCTTCTGGCCGGGAATATCACGGAAGTGAATTCCGTGGGTCCGCCTTTGAGCCTCGAGACCGATCTCTTGATGGCTCTGCCCAGCAAGCAGGTACGACGGCTCGATCTTCGTCTTTGCGGTCTTCGACGTCTTCTCATGATGCTGGCCGATCTCTGATACAATTCGTCTTGCGTCAGAGTTGCCGCAAGCTTTAATAGAAATTCCTTGTACAGCGGTTTGAGGTCGTTGAACGACATGCCTTCCGGGTCTGAAAACAAAAAAAAAATATTCTTGTGGTTATATCGATCAATAATCTCAGAGAAATAATCAAGCAACGTTCCGAGATATTGTTTACACATTTCGCAATTATTTTTAATTTTAGTACACGAGACAATTAATGTAAGAAAATTAATTAGTCAAAAAAGAAGCTTAAAGGAAAAAAATTCAAAAACAAAAAATCTCTCGATCTAATAACTGGAAAATTGCAACCGCGTGTTAACAGTCAGTTGTTTTTTTATGAGACAATTAATTAATATATTTCAAATTATATTATTTTTAATTACCTATAATAGCCGCCAAGATGTCGTCGACGCTAGTCAAGCCTTCCTGATTTCTGAACTCGTCGAACAATTCCGTAAATCCGAGAGGAGTGCCGCCGTTGATGTTATTCGGTCTCCTCCCACTTCCGGCGGTCAAGAAACTCCCTCGTCTGGGTAACTCGACTCTCGTCATCAGATCGCCTTTGTCCACGTCTATATCGCTCTGAGATCTCTTCAACGCATTTTCGTGAAGTATCTTGTTGGTCTTGTCGGAGTGACTGACGGGAGGTTCGCTCCCAGCTCTGCTTCTTCTTCTCACCCGTGGACGACTGTACTCCGGCACGTTCAGCGAGTAAGGATCCGACTGGTCCTTCTTCAACGGTTTGTCCATGGTGACCATCCTGCTGACTCTCTTGCCGGAGTGGTGTATCTTCTCCGGGTTTCTCGAGCGCTTCTGCTGATCCCCCGTGCTGTCCGAGTGCTCCTGACGCGAGTTCTTCGCGAAGAAGATATCGTCCTCCTGACGATTTCGCGTTTGACCTCTGTTGTTCTTGACCGCGTAAACGTCCTCATTTCCGATACTTTCGATCTTGTCGGCGTCTTCGATGCGCGAGCCGTAAACAATGTCTTTTTTTCTGCCGATCGGCTCGTACGCGGTACCGATCTCGTTCCTGCCGATCTTGTTCACCTTGTCGTACATTAAAACGCTCTCGGCTCTGGGAGAATACGATTGTCGCTCAGCCGGCGCGTTTCCGCTCGCTCGGTTCAAGTCGTACGATCCGTAGTTTCTCTCGTAAATGTCATTCTGCGAACAATCCTTCGGATTGTTGTTCGATTTGTACAATTTTTCGTACTTGTTGGACTGCCTCTCGTAAAGCGCGCTCGCATCTCTGGCGTCGTAGATCTTCTCGGATTTGTTCGACTCGATCTCGATTCTCGATGCGTGACTCTCGTTCTCCTCGACGGAGAACATCTTGTTCTTTGAATTTTGCAATTCCTCGTTTCTCAACAAAACGACGTCTCGCTTCAACTGTCCCGAATTGCTCTGCTTCTCGCCTTTGACGACGTTGTCCCGTTTTCTTCCGCGCGCCTCGAGAATGTCTTCCGCCTTCACGTCCGAGTTCTTCTTCTTTCTTCGGGGAACCTTCTGCAAACTGGGCTTCGCGCTCTCGTCCTCGGTGACGGAACTGCTTACCGAACTCTTCTTCATTCTGGGCGGTCGCACGGGATGCGGCGCCGTCGGTCTGGGCGGCGGCGGCAGCAAACAACCGATCCTTCGGCCGAGACTCGGTTGTTCCCGCGCGCTGGAAACAACCGAGGCCAGACTCACGCAGCCGAGCCCGTTTGCGTGACGGGGTCGTCGGCGATTCGCGTCCAGATCGGCGAGAAGAGCGCGATACAACGTGGCCGCGGCCGCTACGGCGTCCTCCTCGGATTCGCAGGCGAACGCGTGACACTCCAATACCTTGGCGGCTCCGGGTCGTCGCATCACCACAGCGAAGATCGGAGGGTAACATTCCGCCTCGCTTCTCAAACCACGCATTGTTCTGGAATTAAAATTCATGTAAAATCTTTTCCTCTCTCGAGAATTTACTTCGACAAATTTTTTTTTTTTTTACACAAAACGATTTTCAGAGTAGAAATCGTTTTTTTTTTTTTTTGTACACAAAGAGAAAAAACTTGTATTTACGAAATATCTACGCGCGCACCTGTAGAGATCGGCGTGTTTGTCTTCCAACGTCTGTCCCTGATCCTGATCGCCGACTAAGGGTAGAAATGCGTGATGCACGTCGCCCGACGGTGTTCTCTTGCAGCGCAGCCTCAGCGCGCTCCATACCGCTATTCTGCGGAAGGGATTGTTTTTCTCACAGATCTCGCTCGTGCGAAACGTAAGTCCGCGTCTGGAAACCTCCAACTCGGCCCTCACGCACACTTCTATGCGTTCCAACAGCTGACGAAGTGGTTCCTGAAGACCGCGCACGCTCGCAACGCGTCCGCCGACCGGGGCGGCTCCCATGTATTTCACCTGCGCGAAAGAAGTTTAAAGTTGATTATACAAGGAAATATACAAAGAAATTTATTTATTTCCTGTGTGTACGAGAGAATAAAAATACATAATAAGAAGAATATAAAATTAATTAATTAATTAACTTGCAAAACAGAGCGATAGCGAATAACAATTGAACTTGGAATGAATATGAAATCTTTGTTTCCCGCATGGAAAAAAAAAAAAAAAACAGTTTTGCTATTATACGGGTGGCAAAAACGTTTCAATCGAGTTTACCGACAATTTTGTTTCATCAGCAAAACGTTTTGATGGCGGAAACAAAAATCTCAATAGGCGTAGCAAACGTTTCTCGCTGGTCGTACGGTAAGTAAATTTCTTGCTCTCTTTTACATTTGTCCCTGCGTAAAAACAAGATATCTATACATAAAGGCTAATGCATATACAAATAAAGTGTTTGATTGAAAATCAGCTTCGCTCTTTTTCAGCGCGCGCTCTTCCCCGCAGAGCGTGTAGAAAATTCTGAAAACCTGTTTTGCGATATCGAAGATAAACCGGTAGGATCGTTGTGTTGGAAACTTTATCGCTGTGCGCATTTTTCGCGCGCGACGAAGTTCTCAAACTAGATCCCTCTCGTCGAAGAATTCAGCTGCGTCACCGTTTTGTCTGAACCAATTTCCACCGGTGTTTCGATATTGTTGTATTCGCGAAACGGAATCGGAACAAACTTCGAATCGGCACGGGAGTTTATATTTTCTCGATAACATAACGGTTTCGTCGAAAATTGCCGGTGAAATGTTCGAGTTGCGGGCGCGGGAAGATGTTGTTTTTGACAGTTGTAAAAAAGAACGTAAAAAGGAAAAAAAAGCCGTCGTGTGATTGATGTGCAACGAATAGCCGTCGATCGGATTATTACGATCGATCGGCCACGCCTGTAAAAGCGAGGCGTTCTCTCTCTCCGCGAAAAATGACGTAACAACGCGCCGGCCGGTTCGATCGATCGGCAGCAGCTTCTTTCGCGAGATCCAATCAAAGTATATAGACGCGAAGCGAGGCGAAACAATGCGGCCCGAAGCCCATAAAACAGAATACCGTGTCGGCGCAGGAATCCGCATACCGGCGTAACAACTGAAGGGGAATTTTTCAGCGCTCCGAATAGTTTGTGGAAGTCTGTCACGCTTCGCGGATCGTGAACGGAATGAAAGTGACGATTAAAAATTCCGGATCGACGCCGCCCGCAGAAGAAAGTCGCGAAGGAGATTTTCGCGACCCTTTTTCACGAATCGGCGCACGTTTTTCGTCGACAATGCGATCGCAATTTCGCGTCGACGTCATCGCGCGGCACGCATACGAAATTTGAAGGAATAAATAAATCACCCGAGTTTTTGTTGCGCGTTTTAAATATTTTTTTTTCGAGAGAACAAACAAATTCCCTGTGCGTTAATTAAAAATTAATTATTTATAAAATTTATTAATTATAAAATTGATCTATTTTTATTCGTTCGTGATTGTTAAATTATTTTAATTCGAAAATATTTACGCAACACGTGCCGAGCAAATTTATATTCTGTGAATTTTTATTTGCAGAACACGGTTTTATTATTGCTAATTTTTTCAGAATTATTATTGCTATTTTTTTTTCAGAATTTAAAAGAACACGTAGCAGAGCGCGCGTTGTAATGTATTGTAATTGTATTTAAGATATTATCGGATTAACGTACCTAAACACAACTGGCACGATGAAACTTTTATCCGAGATTGTGATACGCAATCTCGGATTAGAATTATAAAAATAAAAAAACACATATATATATATATATATAATCAGAAAAAAATCTCACAAACACATATAATTTGCTTTCTCTCTCCCTGATTTTGATCAATCTCTCGCAGCACGCTCTGCTCCTCTGAAAGAGGAGGCGTTGCTACGATTCTTTCCTTTCTAACGAGCAACCAGCTCGCGAGTAATTATATACGTCGATCTCAATTTTTCTAACACGGAATTATCATCCGAGCGTCATCCAGATGATTTACGCAAAATTTCTGACGCGAGAAGTGCGATACGCGCGTGCGGACTTTAATCACATTCTTTTCACCGATCTCTTAGGTCTCATCTCTTCGAAGAGAAATGAATCAATTAGAACTTATTTTTCTGGGGCGAAATAAAAACTCGAATTATAATCAATAAACGCGTTGCGATTCGTTTACTTGCGATCCGCGAAGAAATATTCAATAGATTTTACATTTATGTCAAGAGACAAAGCTGAGTCACGCTAAAAATGCTTCTCTCATCTAACGACCACGTGTTCGTCGCATAAACTTCTCGTTAAGGTCTGTCTTTAAGGACCCTTTCTTCTCTTCCGCATTGTTTATTATTTTTTTTTCTCAACTGCTATTTTTATACTGAAACGCGCGATATTAAGAGCGCGCGCTTATAAGGGTCACGTTCGCTGGCGAAGTAGGTAAAATCTTTCGTTTCGGTGAAGTCCCTCGAGAGTGGAACGGAACCGCCGTCCGGTCATCACGCCGATCTGCGGGATTTTGCACGCGCGAGAGATGCGCGGATACACAATGGAATTAGCATAAGTGAAAATGCGCGCGTATACTCCCGCTACGTGAGAGAGGAGAGCGCGTGTGCAATTACGTTCCGGACCCTCTTGAGAGATGTAAGTCGTCCGACGGTTCGGCGATTCGAAGCGTGCGCGCGTATGTATGTAATGTTCGCAACAAAGTGCTCGCGCACGTGCGTTAATTATTTGTGTCATTACCGGCAGAATAGCGGCGGCGCATTCACCGGGCGTTCCACTTTCGGCCTCCACCGAGGCGAACATCGCTTCGATGCGCGCCTGGACGGCGCTGTTCACCCTCTTCTGCTCCTCGGCGCCCACATCGTCGGGGTTGGTCGCGTTGGACAGACCGGCGTACCACCCTCCCAAAGTGGAGCTGCAAATCGATCTAAAAAAATCACGATTTGTGCGATAATGAAACTACTAAATAAATATTTATTTTCAAAAATTAATTTAATTAATTAGTAAACTAGAAACAATTAAGTTTTGTTTTATAAATTTCTTGCTTTATAACTTTAGTTTTTGTTGTTACCAGCACAACACAGGCGCAAGCTATTGTTATTTTTATTTTAATGTGTTGCGTACTGAAGTAAAGTCACGTGTTGTTTCTTCTCTCCTCTTTGTCACGTAACTTCAAAAAACGCAAGAATATCTACTAGCACAACACAGTCGCGCGCTATTGTTATTTTTATTTAACGTGTTGTCAGTGAACACAACCTGTCACCGCGATGACAGATAGTATATACGTCTTATAAACCATATAATACACATATGAGAAATGTCAGAAATAACGCATGAAAATCAAACTCAAAAAATAGTGAGAGAGAGAAGTGGAAAAACAACACGTGACAGGAAAAAGGGTAAAAAAGAGAATATTATATATATTATATGTAATATTCTATATCTATATATAATATACACACATACGCATATATGTATATATATATACCGTAATCACGTGATCGAAGTCAATAACACCGCCGCGGTCGCGCGGCCGAGGTCAGTGACTTCACCGCAGTCGCGCGACCGAGGTCATTGACCCCGCCGCGGTCGCGCGGCCGAGGTCAGTGACCTCCCCCTGCCAAGACCGCGCGGCCGAGGTCAGTGACCCCGCCAAGGCCGCGCGGCTGAGGTCAGTGACCCCGCCAAGGCCGCGCGGCCGAGGTCAGTGACATTACTCTTTAGTATGTATATAATACATATAATACAATATAAAGTATAATATTATAAATATATAATAAATTATATGTATAATATGTATTATTTAATGTTATATATAATATAAATTACAGTCACGTTATTTTCACGTGTTGTTTTTCTACACTTTCCTGTCACGTGACTTTAGTTACGTTTTTAATTTTCTCTACATATACGACGAACTGTCTCAAAATCGCTTTTCATTATTTACTCTTTCGATCTTACCGATTCGATTCGACTCGATCAACCAACCAACCAATCGGCAACGCGGAAAAGAGGCAACAATAGATGCGATACATTCGGCTTCAAAACGCGCACTTCGCGGAACACATGGTTTTTTTTATATAGATAAATTTTTTTTTGACAATTGGATATCAAGAGGAAAGACGACGGTGACTTTTGCAAGGTGCGAATTTTCGCCTACATGCCTTCGCACATAAAGTTGCACCTTTTGTTGTTAATATATTATTGAGATGACATTAGTGATGCAACTTCATGTGTGTGTGGGAACATAAATGCTTCTGTTTGTGTAAGGAAATTCAATTTAAATTCAATTCACCTGGAATCTTCGAACAGCGCGTCGATTTGCGCCTTGCTTTTGAGCGAACACTCGGACGGCGGACCACCCAGACGAAATCCATCCTCGTAGCAAGATATTCCCAAGGTTGACATTTTTTTTTTTTTTTTTTTTTTTTTTTGTATCCAGATGTCACGCGGTCCAGTTGGATGTGTAGTCGCAAGTGCTTTCCTCTATTGTGTCGCTTGCTGACGTCATTCGTTCTGAAAAATTATCACAACTGATGATATAACGGACACACACACTGATTTTTCTTGCGCGCGTATCCAAGATATAGTACTCGGTCATAAATAATCACTCTCGGGAGATGACAACCGCGCGCGCGGGAAACGGTCCGAGATTTCTCTCCCGAATGACCCGAATAACATTTTGATGTATGATATCAAAGGAGAAAAATTCTCGGAGGACAGAATGCGCGCCAAGTTTTCCAACTTTCGACCGGTTTCTAGGGACTACTCGCTTACTAACGTCGCGGTGCGTTAAATTTATGCGAGAGCCGCGCGCGTTGCGTGCATAATTAAAAACAAAAAAAAAACAAAAAAAATAAAAAACTCTGAATCACGGGGACAGGATCGGATCGGTCTGTTACTCGCAGATTAAACCCCGCAGTAGTAAAAGTGCTGCCGCGCGACGACTCGATAAAAAGGAAAATTCGAACAATGAGTTCGTTGACGCGTAACGCGATGATGATGATGATGCAATAAAACGGTCGTCGATCGTGGCCGGCGGTAATTCGAATCTTCTTTGCGCAACGTCGCGCGAGCAAGAAAATAGCGTGTCATTGATATCGGCAGGTGATTTTTTCTTTTTTTTTTTTTTCTGCTCGAAGAATTTTGGATTTATTTGCACATAAGCGTAAATTGGTTAATTAATTAAGAGTGCTTTGCTCTCTTGTTTTGAGCGCAAAGCGCTCAAGAGCCCTCCCCCCCACCTCATTCGTGGGTCATTATCCTGTGAGCTAGAAATCGCAGAAGTATGATAGAAACCGTGTTGTTAATCCGCGGGAGGAGTGTGTGAGAAAAAAAAATTGCGTGTTTACTTCGCGGATTTCACCGCGGCAATTCGCGAAACTGCACGCATTTTCTTCGTTAAGATGCTGCGCGCGCCATTGTTTATTACCGGCCATTAGAGCGGCCGCTCTCGAGAAAAACAATTTCCTCGCGCGAAAGGTTGAAATAAAGCGCGAGTGTTTCTGACGCGCGCGCGCGCGCGTGTGTGTGTGTGTGTGCAATTTATCAAATTTTTGTAAATATCAGGTAAAAGAAAATTTTTTTTCAAGAACCGACTATCGCAACGTAAAAAACTTGAAAGCTGATCTTCGCGCGTGTCTAATGTCCGAATAGGTAGCTGTCGCGCTTTGTACGCGGTTAAACGACTTTACAGTTACGGTCCAGTTGGATCTGGTGGTAATTTTCAAAAGGTGTCAATGTCGACGTCCGGGTCCGGATGTTACGAACTGGAATAACTGTCATCCTCTTTCGAGCGCGCGAGTATATTTGACCTCCTCGCGTAGACGTGCCGTTCGCAATCGTTAATCCACGTGACGAAATCGATTGCCTATCGGCGGCGTATAATTGCGACGTAATTCGTTACGGTTGATTGCGGCAACGGGGCGTCGAGGATACGCGATTCGAAAAAGAACGGAGTTCTCGGCGATTGCCAGAGAGTCGATCCTTAACAAGAAAACATGCCCTCAATCAAGAGGGAAACTTTGTTTTCTCCGTTCTCTGGCAATGGAGCGGCAATTTTCTTTGATCGACGATTATTTTTCACGCGATGCATTTAGGAAACGCGACGGCGCGATAATCCGCGTGTATCGCGCGCGTCGTCGAGATTTCCTTGTGTAAAAAGAGAAAAATAAGAGATTGTGCCTGGTTTGCTCTCATCGCGCCTGGAAGCCCCGGCCCTGAATAATCACCACCGAGCTTCTTCTTGATGCCGGTGACCCAGTTTCCGACTTGCGTACGCTACCGTAATCGCCACGGTAGCTCGAATCTACCTGATCGACGGTTATTAACAATGACTCTGCGATTGAGGATGACAATTTCGGGAATTACTTGTTACGCCGCGCTTCAACATCGTTATCGAGATTTTTTCGTACGAATGGGTTAACTAAAAAAAGATGTATCGAATCGTCGAATCAAAAATTGAGGTCGAAAACTGGAAATTAAGTTATGAGAAAAATAAACATCACACACATATACGCACCCGTTTGGTCTACTTTTTTAATTTTTGGTAATTATGCAGTTATACGGACTATTTTCCGATCTCAACAATTTTGACATATGTTATCAAGGTCACCTCCCTGAATAATAATATGAAGGTTTTATCCGTCGCT